TGTATGTATGTGCGTTGTGTGTTCATTCTGTAATGCTGGGAAAGGTGTCCTCCTCCTTACTTTCTTCCACAGCCCCTTTTCTTTTATCGGACCTGGTTTCCTCCAAGGGAGGTACCTAATCTGGTAAGGTTGGGTTGATGAGAGGATGGATTGTCTCCTCATCAGATATTCTCTTCTGGTCAACTAAGAGAGAGGGTACATCATCCCCCTCCACCTCAGAGTCCGATTTCGAGGGTATTGAACTGGGAACAGCAACCTCTTTATGCCACTGCGCCTCAGGATCTTGCAGGACCCTAACAGTTTCCTGTGAGAGTCCTGTGCATACCCTATATCCAGTTCCGTGTAAACAGATAGGGAATCCCGGTCTATATGGCTTATCAGTCTCTGCCTTTTCGGGTCAGATTTCCTATCCAGTATCCTCCAACTCTTTATGGAGTCCTGGATTAAGATTCCCGATCCATTTCATCAGCTCAGCAGGATTTTGGGCAATTTTGTCCTTTGTCCTGAGAGCCACCTTCACAGGTTTGGGCAGGTTCTTGGCGTCAGTAACCTTCAGGTAGCCCCTGACTTTAATCTGTGATTATCTATGGTTCTTACAAACCACTGTCCAACTTGTTGGTCGGCACATGTATATATTAATGCACCTCCCTCCAGTCTATGATTTCAGGCGTGGTAGTTCTCCCAAAGGAGTCCTACGTAATGCCTGTCCCAGTTCCTCTAGAATGGAGTCCTGGTCTTCCTCTGTTAGTTTGTCTTCAGGATACGTTTCTTTGAAGATATCTACCTTTATATTAGTCAGAGCCTCTTTGTAATTCCCTGGTCCTTTTCGGAGCTCTGACCGTTTCTGTAGGGGTACTGCCCTCCGACCTTGGCCCCTTAAAGGTCTCGGTAGGGGTTTCACCCTGCTTGGGCGAGTCTGCATTTTCTGGTTCATGACTGCCCCCAGTTCCTGCTTTTTTTGCCCCGGCTCTTGCCTTTTTTAATTTCCGTCTAGTGCATCCAGACAAGGCCATCTTCGCTAGACGCGGTCCACCTACTCCAGAGACCAGGTGTCCCAGTCCTTCTCCTGTTACAGGTGTGCTAGAGGTACTAGCCCCCTGCAGTGGTATGTTAGTACTAATGGCTCCCAAGAGAGGAGTTTTTGGTTTTACCTCAGGTAGGTTTCGAACCACTGGTTCGTCCCTGCATTTGGTTGAAAGTTCAACAGCAGGTTCGCTGGTTGCAACTGGGTCCCTTAGTGGTTCACCACAGCTTCCAGCCCCCTACTGAAGCATTTCTCGTAGGGATCTCCTTGGAGGGGTGTCTCTCTTCAGTTTAAGGTCCTTACGAACGGTTTTTGTTTTGGTTCCTTTCATTTTGGTTCCACGAGTCATGGAGATTTAAAAGTTCGCCACCCGAAGCGCCACTTACGGGTGGAAGGCATAAATACCACGTGGTGCTGCCTGGTGCCCCGAGGGAATCGTTCAAGACACCAACTAATTACCACCCCAGTGCCATGCAGCCCTCTGCACGATGCCTCAGACCTTGGCTTAGGTGGTCTGGTCCTGTTGTGAATGAAACCCTCAAAAGCCTCCAGGACCAAGAGTGCCTGTTCGGGGGGAGAGGGGTATCCCAGATGACAAATGGGAGTGCGACACCAGTTAGTCATGAGGTTGCGACCAGGGCAACCTGCATGAGAGAGTCGCCCCTCGGGGTGGCCTATGAGCTCCCCCATTGCAACCCCTCATATGGGTTGTTCAAACCGTTAAGAGTTTGAGCCCTAAGGTTTGCGGCACATTATCGGTACTCTGTTGAGACAACTCAAATAGCCGAAGCTACCCCCATGGGAGTGCTCTCCCGCATTCGTCTCGGGTACACCGTAGTGATACCGAAGAGTCATTTTGTCGCCGCGTGGGAGGCTCTGGTCATAATGTCATTGCCCTTTATGGGAACTGAACCGCCAGCCCCGGAAGGTCATACTGATCCATACCCCAAGAGTGTCGTTGCTCGGCGGGACCACGAGGAGATGTCCCAACGCATCCTGGTCCATGCTGCGTCCCCACCAAAGACACAGGCGTGGTTCGGCCAACCTCATTGAGGATGGCGTCATTACCACCTGCAACATGTGACCTAAGAGAGTCACAGTTACCCCGCCTAGCTCAGAGGGAGCTCTGTAATATCAATTTTGGGGCGCGTGACTATTAGACGGGGTATGGGTTGGATGATTGGATTTATTGACACCTTACACACACACCACTCGGAACTACAGGCAATCACAACGCTATCGCTAATCTCCGCACTTTACAGTTCACTGTTGCAAACACTTGTGTCCTCAGTCTATTACAGTCTCCACTAGCCGTTACCTGGCAACGATTTTTAACACAGGAACTATAATAGTCTCCCTGATTTACACACTCCCAATACTGTGGTACCAGATAACGTATAAATTCTTCTTTTTGCAACTAGACTCTCGGCTCCACTGAACTGCACTCAGTTCCTAAGCTCTCAAGCTCACATCTTGGCAGGCTGGCGTCTCGAAACTCAACTGGATCTCAGTTGCCACCTCTTTTCGGTCATCTTCGACTGCAATTTCAAGATACTCCATCAATTCTTCTTCTTAGGCGGCTCATACATGTACGAGTCTGGCTCGCGAGTCCGGCTCGGCGAGGAGCTGGGCTCGGATTAATTTCACCACACACGTGTGAGCGTGGCGACCCACACATGAACGAGTGTGGCTCATTGGAACCCGAGCCGAGTAGGACTCGCGAGCCAGACTCGTACGTGTATGGGCTCCCTTAGTCAAAGTCAAAGTCACATTGCGACCGATGGTCAGTCAATCAGTAAGTCATGGTGTCTAGCCCCATCTGGGGCTCATGACCAAATATTTATTACTCTTTGACAATTTCTGTCTTGTTTATGTGGGGGCGCCCTCTCTGACGAGAGGACGGATCTGTCTTTTGTATATGCTGCTGGTCCTTGCCAGCCCAGTCTTTCTCGGGTCAGTGGTTTGGGACTCGCCATCATATTTTACTGTCTCAGATTTGAGATTTCCTCTTTCGTCGCCTCCTACGACTCGCATGGTCACGGTGGAGGTATTCGCCCCCGCCTCCACACGGGTTATTCTCTTCTTCTTAGCTGCCTGAGATCCTCGTTTTATAGCATCGGGGCGGATCCAACAGAATACACCGTTTGCTACCGAATCCTCTATCGTTATAGAAGTGTATTTACCACGCCGTTGCATGGAAACTGTCGTTCTTCTATTGTTGCGTTGATGTCATTTCCGCGAAAATTGTTTACCGAGTCTCTGACTTGCAACGAACGACTTCTCTGGCTTTCCGGCTTTCAGGCGCCATGTAACAATAATAAGTGTCTTGCTATTGACCAGGGCTTCCAGGATAGTGACCTAACAAGATAGCTCAGCGGTCTCGGTTCCTTCTGGGCGTCTAAATAAGCGGTTGAGCGGAGTAGCTCTGAGGCAAAGGGACCCAGAGGTCGCAGTCCCACGGTTATTAACAGGTCGGTTAATCTGGAGTCAGAAGACGTTTGGCCTGTGTTCTGGAGGTAGTGGGTTCGAGATTTATGAAGGCCGCATATGCTGACTGGCTCCTTTTTGAGATTGTGTAATACACGTAGTTTAAAATTGGCCCACGAAATTTTCTTCACATTTTGATTGGTTTATTCTTGGGATATTTAAGTAGACTTCTAACATTTTTAAAGGTTTCTGACGTGGTATATTAATACAATTATTGACCTTATTCGTTTTCCTATTTCCTATTTAAAAACAAAGTTTCAGGGAGCCTTCTAACAGCCCCACCTGAGCGGTTGCCTCTCGCTGAAGCGGGAAACAGATGAAGTTTCCGATTATGTTCAGAAATCCTGTGTGCAGAGCATCGCTGACAGAACACTATCTTATTGACTTATACAACTTGTGGAGACATGAGCCTTGCAGTCAGGTGGACCTGAAGATGGAGGCAGAATTTTTATCCGAAAACTCCCTGAAGACAGCAATTTTTTCAGTAACCTCCGTGAGAACCTCAACTCGTAGAACAAAGAGTCACGGTTTGAGGTCACTTTTCACACTTATTTCAAATAGTAACTTACTGACCGAAGGCAAGGTAAAGTCGACCCTATGCCTAGTTATAGATACGGGGCGTACAGACGTATGACGTCGGCACTAGGCAGAGCTGAGTGGTGAACTGCAAATACCGGCCACTTCATTCTCTCCCGCGGAAAGAGCTCCCGGTAGTGGCGGCCTCAGAGCCGGTCTGGACGCTGTAGAGAAGAGAAATATTTCTTGCCTCTGCCGGGAATTGAATAGATTCCTCGGTTGTTTAGCCCGTAACCTGTCACTATACTAACTGAGCTATCTCGGCTCTTGGTGATCAGATTGAGATCACATTCTGTGCCCTATTTGAACACGATGTAACGAGCATAATGGAAGTACGTGGTCAACATATCTGCATAATAAAAAAGGTATACTGAAATAAATCACCGGTTTTATAATTATTCATTCACGAATTTCACAGCCTTACTGTTTTTACGTACAGATGCGCTAATAGGAAGGTGGATATAATAGTGTAACAAAGGTGTCCCAGAATCTTTCACGAACCTTTATATAAGTTCTTGCCCCTAGAAATCGTATCTGACATCTTGTTTAATTAAAGAAAAACACAGAATAAGTGTATTTGAGAAGTTGTTACTGAGGAAAATACAGAGGGTTCGATATATGACGCTGCCGCTTCCTCCGTCGTTAGTTCCCACCGAACTAGTCGTGGGCAGCTCGCTTTCCGAGCACGCTCGCAGCGTCAAAAATTGAAACCCCTGTATTTGGATCTAAATGAAACTGATATAAATACGTAGCGACTTCCATCCAGCGCGCTCTTGATATAATATTATTAAAATGATTCAATCAAGACGAATGAACTGGATGAGATATGTGAGTCTGCAATGTAGGTCTCATGGGGGCATAAAGGGACGCTCTGTGAAACGTATCTTGAAAAAAAAAATTCTCTCAATTTCAGAACCCATGTCTGACGAAAGCTGTCCCCGGTAGCAGATAACCTGAAGAACAATCATGACCACCAGGGAATACATGACAGTTGTGACGAAGACAACCGCGCGGCTCCGAGTGGGGCTTTTGTGCTCCATGCAACACTGTCAAATGCGACTTCGCATTAACCCACGGCAGATCCGGTGGAAACATCACCGGCCTGACAATTGTGATCAGTCTGAACGGTGAAATCAGCCAAGAGGCTCTAACACTTTTAAAATCCCACTACAATGAACACGTGTATATAGATATATACATATACACACATAAAATTATGGATTTTGTCCGCGAAACAGAACATTATGTCTACATAGCAGGACACTTATCATAGTGGAAGACCCACCACGTTATATCAACCGGCAATGCTTCTGACTTCTGCTCGGAAAGAGAGCAGTTCAAATGTCGACCGTAATACGACTCTTCTGACGCTCCTGACTTAGGTTTATCGCAGTTGTTTTCAGTCTCTCCAGACGAATGCTGTGATAACATTTTAAATTTGGTCACGACCGCATTCGTTATTCACAACACTGTCATCGTTTGACTCTGTATGTTCTAAGTTACAGGGTAAAGCTGAAAGGTAAAGCTATCCCTGTAACAGGCCGTGAAGGTCCATAGCGTTGTGAGACGTCGAGGCTCCCACATTTTCTAGACAATCGGCTCACATGTGGCGGTGAGACTGGCATCCTTACGCGCCGGCAGACCTGCGGGAAGTTGTTTACCGACCCGGTGCCTAGCAATGGGTATACACGTCACAAAATATTTTCTTCGTCTGAATTAGGAGCAAAAAAGTTGTAGTTTGTTAAAATTTGTCTCAGATAGTGAACAAGCCACAGAAATTTGTACGTATTTAAAAATCTTCTGAGAAAATGAACGAAGTTCAAAGCTTTACAACATTATAAATCTTTCTGACAAGAGAATAAAACAAATTCTCGTAAGCTTTACAGATATTCTGATGTGAAGCAAGAAGTTTTATATTTTGCTGAGAAACTGACAAAGGGACAAACATCCTAATGTTTTATTCTTCCCGGAGAAGGGAGGCAAAGTACAAATATTCAGGAGGGTCTGTAATTCCTCTCACCAAAAAGTATAAATTCCACAGATTGTCCTTTGAAGATGAACAAAGCATAGAAGTCCGCGTGTTTATGTGACTTTCTTACGTGAGCAAAGTACAAATATTCCCAACCTTACAGAATTTACTTGAGTGAGCAAACAGGGCACGGAGATGAATAAACTCCTTTTAAAATGTGTCTTGAGCTCAATAAAGCAAAGAAGTACAGGGGTTCTTACATTTATCCTGAGCTTGAACGAAGCACAATCAACGTACTGCAATTCACCTCAGCAAGCCAATTATTTTTAAGACTATGGTCTCAAAGGGAGTATAGTTGTACGTTCTCAGACCAGGATACATCTGCACAGCAGGTCATTTGGGAAACATAAGTATTCTTGGAATAGTCTCGTATTCTCTAGCAAATGGTCATTCCAGTTTGCTGCATTCTCTCTGTTGCCTGAACTCTCTCAGCTCATCTGGGCTTAAACTTGTCCCATCGCTTAGCCAGGCCCATGGAGAAGATGATGTGTCACGTGGTAAATCCCTGTTCACGCCATGGGCCGATTAAATCGATTCCGCCTACTTGCAGCAAAAATGTCACAGCCGTAGAGATCGGCTGGATAATGGGGATAATGGAAAGAAGTACTGGCAGTTTTTGGAGCATGGCTTTGTATGGGGCTGAAACATGGACACTTAGGGCAGAAACACCTGGAAAGCTTCGAAATGTGGTGTTGGAGAAGGATGGAGAAGATCAGTTGGACCGATTATGTGAGAAATGAAGAAGTGTTAATTAGAGTCAGTGAGCAGAGGAATATCCTCCACGAAATAAGAAAACGGAAGGCTAATTGGATTGGTCATATCTTACGCAGTAACTGCCTTCTAAAACAAGTTATTGAAGGAAAGATAGAGGGGCGGATAGAAGTGACCAGAAGACGAGGAAGAAGACGTAAGAAGATGCTGGATGACCTTGGGGACAGAAGAGGATATTTTCATTTGAAGGAGAAAGCTCTAGATCACATTAAGTGGAGGAACTGTTTTGGAAGAGACTGTGGACCTGTCGTCTGACAGATTACTGATGAATGAGGACCTCGGATTTCTACCGAAGTGGAATAATGAAACTTGTTTCTCGTTGGCAACTGTGTCGATTCTAACGGTTTTTATTATTACTGAAGTTCATTCTAAGCTAATTTGCACTATTTTAAATTGTAAGGTTGAAAACCGAAATTCATTTCGCAACAACCTAACATCACGCGGTTGGTACGCAAGTGTAAAGGTAGTACGTATTAGAGTTGTCCTTTCGCTCTGAATTCGGGGGGGGGNTTCGTCGGGGGTGGGGGGGGGGGGGGGGGGAGGGGGGATCTGATTTGAGCTTCTTACGGGTTACGATCCACACTGAAGTTGAGATGTTTCATTAAAATTTTTAACGTGAAGAATATCCCTGTACAGCTGAGCTGAGATCTCCAATGTCCGTGCAATATATGTATTTGTGGTAATTAAATGTACACAGTATATTTTCATTACTGATATATGAGAATATTTATTCAATATACGTTTTTAAATATATAAGTATATATGTACCGGTATTTCTGTGAAAGTGATACTAAGTATCCTCTATATGTATGTATTTGCCACGGTATTCCTACAGGAGTAGAAAGTATCCATCCCTACCACAAAATTGCTAAATTGTCCAAAGTTATAAATAAACACAGAGCCTTGAAGAGCACTATCTTCTGGGTGTGATGCCCTGCAGTTCACAATTTCCGGTTACTGCTCGCTGCCCCATGGTTGCTTGCCTGACTTGCTTCTGAACTTTGAGGGTTGAATCAATACATTTCTCCAAAACATCGATCAACTTTTACCGAACTACAGAGTGCCACATCCCAGATGACTGTCATCTTCATAAGGTTTCGCTGTGAGAACCAAATATACAGCAAATAAAGTTTTGTTTATATGACTTACGTATTAATGTTAGGGATATCATTAGATATGGAACCTGCGACGAAATCAGTCATCAAATTGTGAGTCTGTAGATCTGTTAATTTAATTTGGTGCCACGAATGTTACACATTATCTTCTTCCTAATGACGAGCTGAAATTATAGTAATATTTCGGAATAAATTAAATGTTACACTGCCATGAAATATCGATAAAATAAATTCATATCGATTCTGGTTATATTTCCCCCCTGCTTTAAAGAGTCGATTACTGATATCAGATGATATCCCTTAAATATTACCAGTAATTTTTCATACCCTTACATTCTACATCCTAGACAATAAAAAAATCAATATAATCACCAGTATTTTTGTCCTTTTCTATTTGAACCTCGTGTCCATGTCATGTGCTTCTAATTCTCTGTCTTGTCTCTACTCCAAGGAATATGAAATGCAAGCAAATCTCCTCGCTTTCATAATTACTTACTTACTTACTTACTTACTCATGGCGTTGAGCCCTTCTTGAGGAGCTGCCAATTCTGCAGCTACTCAAGAACTTCCCAGCATTTTATGGAACCCGAAGGTCCATTACCGTGTTCACAAGAGCCCTCCACTGGTCTCTATCCTGAGCCAGATCAATCCAATCCATACCATCCCATCCGATTTCTCTAAGATCCGTTTCAATATTGTCCACCCACCTACGCCTTAGTTTTCCCAGTGGACTCTTTCCTTCTGGCTTTCCCACCAAAATCATATATGCATTCCTCTTCTCCCCCAATCGTGCTACATGCCCTGTCGACTTCATCGTCCCTGGCTTGATCAATCTAATTACACTTGGAGAAGGGTACAAGTTATGAAGCTCCTCATTATGCAGTTTTCTCCAACCTCCTGTCACTCCATCCCTCTTCGGTCCAAATATTCTCCGCAACACCCTGTTCTCAAACACCCTCAGTCTATGTTCCTCCCTTAATGTCAGAGACAAAATTTCACACCCATACAGAACCACAGGCAAAATGAGAATTTTGTATATTCTAACTGACACAACAGACGAGAACGCTTTTTAACTACTTTTCGAAATACGGAACGTAGCAAAGACAAGTGACCTCATCGGAGATGCTAATCGTAGCTGTAAGATTGAAACTGTACTTTACCCCCCGGCATTATAAATTTTCAACTGAATCCTTTGTAGTAGAAGCATGATTTCATTTTGCACATCCTTCATCCTAATTAGAATCTAGGAACAATAAAATTATACACAAAACTACTTCATTATATCACCTATGATTGTCGAAAAGAGAAATGTACGAGTTACTGCGAAGGCTGTGCCAGGTATTCATGTCTCTAATTTCAACACGAAATACCATCCGGATGAAATACGTTCACACGATCATTTTGTTCAATGTAACGCATATAGTGCATCGGCAATGACGTCATGTCTCTTTTCGGTACTAGTACATAACGCGCCAATTGTCTGCTCACCGTCATTATCGCCAGTTTCACTGGCGGCTGCAGCATTGCTCTCACACAAACCCGTGGCCAATCTCAGCCCTCCAAATGTTTACATCTTATCCATTAGGACACGGGTTGAATCTACCATCTGCACAGTCTCGCAACCGAAATTTACAGTTACAATTCAAAAACTGGCCACAGACTGCATCACAGTAGCACCATCTTCAGGTCTAAGGCATCCAATTGCTGCCCCCCCAAATGGAATAGAGTGACTTTAACTTTATTCCGTGCTTTTCTGTCTTTCGATATGAAACGTTCGTCTAAGTCCCTTCTGTTTTCTCACGCTGTCTCAAAATGTAGTACGATTCGTACTGTAAGATGAACTTAATTTTCTAGCAGTTTATTATTATTATTATTATTATTATTATTATTATTTTCTCATGGAGTGAGACTGAGTCCCTTGTACTGCGGGCACTGTTTGGCCTACGGTACCAGCCCCAGATGACAGATGATGGTGATTGTGGAGCAATCACTGGAATGCGAATTGGCAGGGGAAACCAAAGTACTAGGAGAAAATGTGCCCCAGTGCTATTTTGTTCACCACAAATCAAACATGACCTGACCCTGGCTTGAAACCGGGCCGCCGCGGTGGGAAGCCGGCGATTAACCGCCTGAGCCATGGCACGGCCATTACTAGCAGATTCTTTGATTTCACTCTCTTTACATTTGTCCCTGTTTAAACAATAATTTCCGGAGCCGGTAAACACAACAACTTTCCCCTTTGTTACCTAAACTCTCCATGCGGTTAGCGCAGAATTCTGCGAAAGATTGTAACCAATTCCAGTTTCCCTGTGTTATCATGCTGATAATGTGTCTCTATGGAATGCTTTTGTGTCTTCGGTGACGACCGTGGCGCAGCAACTCTCACTCCTCTGCTGTCCTCGCAGAGAGGAGAATATATGTGAGCAGCAATGACACGGGTAGCATTTCCTTGACATCAGATAAGAGCAGGTAGCCACTGAGATCTCAGCGCCTGCACAGATCCTGGCTATAAGCTAACGTTGCAAGGTCTCCGACATACAAGCAAGGATCTAATCGTAATGTACGGTTTGACAGGAGACTTCGCCCGTGATGGATTGGTCCGAAACGAGGGTAAGGGCGTACCAGCCCACACGAACTCGTGTCATACACGACGTTACTCTTAACAGGGCCACTTGAGCTCCGTGACAACCTGATGTCTCACAGAGAACATGCTGTCACGTGTACGAGTAACTCTCGACGGGGTTCGTGATCGGATATTTGATTTATTGCTAACTTACGGATCGTTACTACCCTTAATTATAGCGCACCGCTAATTTACTAGAGCGCAGGCCAAGTATTTTCCAGTCTGCAGTGTCTTCACTAGTAGTTTCCTGGCAACGGCTCCAACAATGGCTATTCCTCCGCTTCCGTGCTCAAGTTCTCTCTGAATGGCGGCTCCCTTCCAACTCACTTCTGTCAGAATCAAAGTCAAAGTTACTTTACGATTGGCGGTTTACCGCCAGTCAGTTCGTCTTGGAGCCAAGCCCCTTGAGACTCACGACTAGAATTTTTTTCAACTGAACTCTTGTCGTAATAGCCCTTATGTAACATCCTCTCTGACGTAAAGATTAGTTTGTCTCTTATGGATATGCTTGACCTTTCGTCAAGTTGTCCTCGGCACGGATCACTGTAGAAAACATAATTTCCATCAGTACCTTCACTGCTGCCCGTTGATTCGTTGCTGTGGTGACGTGTTCCTTTTGTGATTGTTAGCTAGTAACGGCTAACGTATATTTGTTTATCTAGCGGTCGTTGCATAGTAACGGCTCTACAAGCTACGATATGATATTACCAACATCAAGCGTGTGCAGCCTTTCAATAGCGCGGATGATTTCACGTTCATACTTTTGTAGTTAATATCTCTACCAAAGAAATTTATTCTTCGATATTTGAGCAGTTCCGAACTTCCCGCCATTACAGCGACATCTCACTCTGCTTGTCTGCCACGAGGTCACAAATGTCTGCTCTGATGTCTTCTGTACGTCTTGCATTCAGTTCCGGTTTCAAAACAGTCGATCACAAACACAAGTGGCGGAGTTTGCGAGGTCATAAGGGAACGTCTGATCTGTAACTGACAGTGCAAAACTTGACAAACTGAAACACATACACAAAGAAAATTCTATTTGGTGAAAACCACTGCTCAGACACGGTTACAATTCGTTGGGCCTCCACATCACACATTCCTGGCTTCGCGGTTACAGCTCCAACACAATAAGCTTTTTCACTTCCGGACTCAAAGCGCCGACCAGAAAGTCATCTTGAGTT